AGAGCTATACAGTGCTGTAAGTTTATGAAGCCAAACGAGGGGTAATATGAGGCTTAAGGCATACTGCCTCAAAGGTTTAGAAGAGCTTAGATAATTGTAGGCAAATTATTCGAGGCTGGTAATGGTAATGGTGGTCAATTACGAGATGACTCCAAGGCACTCTCTGAGTTTTTGGATAATCTGATGATTTACAAGAATGCATTGATTTCGATGAATTGCATGAGTGACCTCAACTCGAGTTTTATACTAGAAGTAATAGCAGGACGTCTACCTACTCGACTGCAAAAGAAAGTGGGTGAAGATTTGGCTCCCGTATGGAGGATGAGGGTATCGAGCCAAAGTTTGATGATATCCTGAAACTGGTAAACAATAGTGTCAATCAATCTATGAGCAAGTTTGCCAGTATATTGAATCTCACCCCTGGATTAGAGCAGTCTGAGGATAAATGCAATCATTGATGACGAATAGGCCTCTGAGAGGTGAATATCGAGAGGGCTCCATGTTGTCTAGTAATGCATATAGACCTAGTGAGTGTAACGGGTTTCGTAGTACATCCTCAACAGATAAGTTACAAGATGCAAGACAAACACGGTTGTGTCTTACACGTTTGCAAGAGGTGCATACAAAGGTGAACTGTGAACCAGTGAGCAAGTTCAGTGATAAGCTAAATGTAAACTCCAGGTCTGACTCCGAATTGTGTGACGATAACGGTGCGGTGAAGAAGTCTGTAGTTGCAACTGGTAAGCCATTGTTGAGTAGAGTGTCACAGAATAGAGTTATTGCTTCAGAGTCCAGTTCTGACCCTACAAGTTTACGAGGTATTACTAGTCAGAGTGAAGGTATAAAATCTTTAGGGATTTGTGAGGAAGAACCCAAATCATCTACTTCTGTTAATAAAGAGTTTGAAAATGATGAAGTCGACCAGATAGATGATGGTAAATTGAATATTTTTGATAATGATCATGATAGTGCGCATTTGTCTTTGGTTGATCATGATGAGATGAGGGATGTGCCTACTACTGCTAAGTTGAACAAAGGTTCTGTACAACTACAACGTGAAGTAGAAATAAATGCAGATGCAGTTGCAGAAGGCATGCATACTTGTGAGACCGTCAGTGTAATTGATCAGCATGTAGCCCACCTATCATCAGATGATAGTGCTAAACCTGAGCTGATAGTAAAAGACAACAGTGGTGGTAATCTTGCAGTTAGACAAATTTCTGAAAGCCGAGCAACAACAGCTCCTGATCCACCGCTAACTTCATCAACCGGTATCAATCAGTCGTCGTTGGTGTTGTCATCCACAATGAAACAGACGCCCATCAACTCAAGTATCTTGTACAATGACTATAATAGTATTGGTGCATTTGAAAAGACGAAAGATATTGCTCAGTTTCGTGAGGATAAGCCAAGTGTAAACGAATGAGTAATTGTTAAATTGACTTGCATGAATAAAGGCATTTCTAGTTTCAAGTTACTATTTGAATGTTATTATCTTTGGTGTAAATTACTGTGTGCCTACGCTTGGTCGACCAGATACGTCGTGTGTTTGTTCGTCATCTATATTCCACGATACAATGACATGAGCGTGTTACCGTTCAGATTTGAGGATATAGCTGATAGGAGGAGGTCAGCAAATGAACTCTGCGACGATTTTCCAACCTAGAGCGTCAACCTGTGAAGGGTTGTAGGCGTACTGGTGTAAGTCCTGCGATTCTTCAAAGGAATTCCATCAAGACATGATCCGCAAGTTTGTGTGTACTGTTTGTATATATGTGTGGTGTGTCATATCAATTGATGTTCCTTTGATTCATTGTGTTTACTCGTTGTTTTCGTACCTTGTTGTTATTGCGTAATTTTGTTAAAATTTTCGTCGTGATTACTTCTGAAGTTGTTTCTAGTCTCCTACATCCGTGAGTGAATTGATTGATGTTAGAGACAGCAGATGGGTCGTATACGCCGGGAGGCTATTGCTGAGAATGAAATGCATACGGAGATAATTGTTAGCTGCGGTCCGACACGCCGGGGAGAAAGAGTGTAAACGACTGAGGCTCGCATACATCACCGTTACTAGAACTGAGGCAGAATGAGTGACAAGTGATTGCAGTGGTAATTGGTAGTGAGTAGATAAGAGGATGTGCGTAGAGTATCGTGAGGTGCTTCTATGGTCACGTTGCATTCTGCAAGAGTCATTCTAGCAAGTGACGATTGTGTTGCAAGAGGATGTGTCAAGAGGATGCCTTTAACTGGAAGGCGCAGGTCGTCATTGATGTGTGAGATTGTGCTGTGAGTATGCTTGTGGTGTGTTGGCTTTGTTTGTTTTCCATTTCAGCTCTGTCCGTGTGACCCAGGTTCTCGCAATGGCATCCAAGTCAATGTGTATTGGTCGTGATAGAAAAAAGGGGTGGATCCCTTTTTTGCCGGGGAGTGTCAATGTAGTTGAAGATTGAACGATCAATTCATGGTTGTTTGCTCAAAACCAACTTCCCCAATTTTCCTGGAGGCATCAATACGACAGTCATCGTCTCATCGGTCGCTTTTCAGAACGAAGTCAGGAGACAGCTGTCAGAAACCTTAGTTGTAACATTGTTTATATGTTGGTGTTACAATAAAGAATCCTCGAGTCGCCAATTGGTGTTTTGGTTTTTGCGTCCGTTATTACTAAGCGTTTCTGAGAAACTTCAAGGAACAGCGTGAGCCCGATTGCAGCAAGAGCTGGGCATTAACGGTTTACGAGACGTGGCTGACAAGCTGTTTTACTTGAAGATTCTGTACTTAAAATGGTTAGAAGCGTACTGAAAATTATGCAGTGTTTTAATCATATTCACAATAAAGCACGGAATTGTCAACCGCGACTGGGGTCGTGAGTATGGAGTTGTTAATCACCTCCCTGTACTCCTGGGCAATGCTGTCAAATGAAATATATAGAGGAAATATTTAGAGAGATTTCAGGTCCGCGTGTCACTACAACCTGTTATCAGACCCACATTACATATGAATACCAGTAACCCACTATTTGTTCTTACCTAACACAGTCTTTCTACCAAGGATGTAGTAGTCGTCCTTTGAATTTTCTCCAGGCCTTATGAGTCACATTCCAGGCCAGGACCGCTTCATGCAGCTTCCTCCTTCATATCTCATTAGATGTTCGCAGAGGAGCAAAGATTCCAACACGCAGACTAGGTAAAGTTCTACTTTCTATGAACACGAGCGTAGATTCAGGAATAGTACTTATAATGACATATTTCTACTCTGTTCTTTAAAGCAGTGGCCACATTTATGACCCCGTGAACCTGAGGGTTGTTTTCCCTTGTTGATTTGGTGACTGTCTCATCACTCTAATCAAGGCAATCACCCCCAATTATTGACTGACAGCTCAGACAAGGTAAATATGTAGTTTGGTGGTGTATTTTGAAAGAAAATTGGTGGGCGACTGGAGCGGAAAAATCTAGTTAAACACCGAGAAGTTCGTTTACCACTGGATGGCATTCACATACAGAGCCTTACATATAATAAAGAAAATATGGTTCCTGCCAGACTACACGACTCGTCTCTAAAAATTCCCAAATCACTAATTACCAATAGGTGACAGTAGCGTTCTGTGTTACCAATACCCTACAGCACCATAAGTATCTCATAAATTTAAAATAGTCCACTATCCTATCGTCAGTTGTTATATCCAACTCTACCAGTTTCATTCCATTTATATTGTGCTGTTGTTGTTTCCTTGTGTTCTCTCTGTCTTGCATGTTTCACACTCAGTTCTCCTACCTTACCTGCGCAGTCTGTTTTGCTTACTCCTTCTCTATTTCCTGCTGATTGTTACGGTCAATCAGTGAACAGCGTATATTTAGGTAAGTGCTACGTCACCACGTGATTAGAAGCTATTTCTTGAAAGGGAGGCCGTACTAAGAAGCTGGAAAATGGTATCAAATACAATTATGGATAAAACGTCATTGAAAGTGCAATTACAAGATATATACAAGAAGAATCTGGAGACTGCTTAGAGTGATAGTATACATTTGCAATTTTTGACGCTAACCATATTGGTCTAAGCATGGAAACTATGGCGTCTTCGATCAAAATATAGCTTTGTCCAAGCATTGGTGTCGTTGTGCTTTTAACCAAGGCATCAAAAATTTAAGGAAGCAACAGATGTGGACACAGAATAAGTTTCAGCTTAGATAGGCCTAGGTAGTCGAGAGAAAAAAAAGGGTATAAAAGTGTTTAAGTAAGAAGATTATCGTGAGGCAGATAAGTGACATTTCAGTGGGAAGTGGCTTAAAAGACCTGAAAGATTATAAGCCATATGACAAGCTGGCCTGTAGGATGTCTCACGAGTTTGTGTAGGACCCACTGGGCAGCATTTTGGCAAAAAGCTGAACGAGCTTGTAGATGTTAGGAGCAAAAGCATTTTTTTATAATTTACATCTGTACAACCATTATTTTTTGTTGAGGGTCCAGACTTGCCTAGTGCCACTTCCATTAGGGTATTTTCCTTACTACCTAGAGAATTCCCGAGAGAAATGAAATTTTAGGTTTCGAACAACACCATCTCTCTGATTTAAATCTAAAATTCAATCGAAAATGTGCTGATATACCTCAGCTTATCGCGTCCGACAGATCTATTGTATTAACCACTACATTGTGCTACACAGGTTGAAGTTGAAGTGGCAGTGTCACTGTTTTAACGGTGCTGAGTTTGTAGCCTTAATGAAACACCTCACGCTTATGCATGCTTAACATCATCAAGGCATTAACATGACGGGGATCGAATGTGAGACAGCTGGAGTAGTTGACAATGAGGGCTGCAGCATTCGAGGAAATAAATCCTACTGGAAATCTTCTAGATATCTACAGCCACTTTCAAGCCAAAAAACCAAGCTCCTAGAAATGGAAAATTGTATACAAGCTCGTCGGAATGTTATTGGATATTGGTTAGAGTAAATTAAATGCCAAAAGGTACATTCGGCGCGACTTACTGAACTTGCGGTGCACAGATGACCTTGACATTTAGTCTGCATGATGAGGTCCCGGAACCTTCTGCCACAGCAGAAGGATTGAATGAAGAGCTGACGAAGATGAGGAAAATAGTACGAGCGGCAAAGGTATGATGTAAAATGTGTTCCGACAATCAGGTGCACGTGTCTAGAGATTTAATAAGGTATATAAAGAAACTTCAGAAGAAGACTTCTCATCTGAATAGTTGCAAACGACTCGAAAATAAGATAAAGAATAGAATATCAGATGTTAAACTTCTTCATAGTCTTTCAGTTGTTAGACTATGCAAACGTTTACTGGCAGAAGACCCGACTCTCGAATCAGTAAGTTAATCAACTCGTAAATTTGTCCAAACTGGGTACAGTAATCCACTTTGTTGATGTTCCTTTATTTTTATTGTATGATTTTTATTCCAATTTCAGTGATACTGTTGGCGTTTACATGTTCTCAAGCAATGTATGGTAGGTTGATCTCAACTGAGTTTGACTCTCGCATTACCACAGCAATTCTAAATGTTATTTCACTCCTTAGTTTTAAAACGTAATGTGGTTCTAAAAGTTCCGTTATTTTCAATATCCACTCTAGTGGTGCAAGTATATATCTGGGCATTGTGTGATGCCGTTTCGTCATTCAGATTCGGATCCGTATACTAAGGATAGTAGGCCTTTGTTGACTTTTATTCCTTGCAACAATCATCTCTAAAGAGATCTAATTTTTCGGAAGCGTTCACTGACGTTGACTTATGTGTGAGAGAATCTGAATTCCACACGTATTTTACTTGTCCTCGGTTTCAGCACCTCTGCGCGGTGACCACGTGAGTGTATCCCAGATCGAAAAAAAGATTGGAAAGATCAAACCCTAAAGCACCCTCTAATATAAGTTATGCCAGAATTAAGTCGCCTCTCCTCCTTTGGTATGACATTTGGAAGGGATTTAAATGCTGCATCCTCTTATAAGGAAGGTGCGAGATTTCACTGAATAATTTGGTTCCTACTCCGTGTACTCTTCCCAAGATGTGTGCCTCCTTCCTGAAGCATGGACTCATGGCTTGTAAGCAGTATTGTAGATTAGGTTTGACATGTTACATGTACTTGGGACACAGACGCGTCTAATCTTTCGGAAGCCTTTCGAAGTGCTAATATCATCCGAAAAGCCTTAGCTGCGGCTGCATTATATTTTGACTGATAGTAATTCTTAAGTCTTTTTGTCCTTTAACATCTGGCAGTTGTGTCCGTCATGGAGCACGACGTGTAAGACCACTGACAGTGCATTGCTTCACTTTTCTCGGAATTAATTCCCAGACTCCAGAGGTTGGTCCATGTAGCTAATTTACCTAGGTCGTTTTGTAATACCAACCTATCACCATTATTTGCAGTTTTCCATATCTTGATATCGTCCGCAAATAATAAGGGAGATGAAGTGAGGATTTTCGGTGGTTCATTTGCATGTAATAGGAATATCAGGGGACTTAATACAGTGTCCTGAGGTACTCCACACAACACTGCTTTCCACCCTGGTAGTACATTACTAACCCTCACCCTTTGCTTTTATTTGTCAGGAAGTCTTTAAATCACTCACATGGTCATTTGTCTAATCCGAAACCTTTCAGTTTACTAGGAAGACCTAAATGGGATACTTAACCATTGCGTCTCATTGATTTTGTTGTTTATTGTAATTATCGCTATAAACTCTGCATTGATTAATGTCATAAGCATTGCTGCTCCAGCTTACATTCGTTTTGTTTGTTTGGTAAATTCTTATTGTAATGTGTTTTTTCTTGATGGTTTGTGTCTTTGGATTTAAGTTATGAAGTTCCTCAGCCGCTTTAGCACCTTGATTTTCCATCCCTCCTTACTTAGCACTTGATCGAGGCTTAATCTCAATATTACTGGCCACTTGACACGGGAGACACAGACGCAGACACTTATGGGGAAAGGCAGCTAGCCAGACAGGCTTTTCATGTCTTCCACTTTCAATGGCCATGTCTCGCTCACAGCCAGCGATAAAGAAGGACGGGGCGAAGCGCTGCCGTGCTGGTTGACAGCCAGCCTGTTATCACATTTACTAAACCAGAGATGGCGTAAGTTGGGAAATGCCAAACGAGCCTTCTATATCCATGTTGAGATTTGGTCAGCGATCAACCCTCTGGGGTTAGCTGATGCAACTTACCAAATTAATGAAGTAGTCAACATGCTCAGTCGCCACTTCATTCCTACCTATCTGTAAGCCAGCTAAGAGTAGTTGATGTAGTCCAGTCCTGTAGTCTCATCATCTTACATTTGAAAGGCGAGAGTCGCATGCCAAACATTCAAAGATTACTGCTCAAGGTATTCGCAAGGCGAACAACACATCGGGATTTATTCTTGTAAACTTCAGGCTTTAAAACTACTCGTCATGGCTGAAATGCGATTTAACTTAAAGTTTGAGAATTGACTGCGTACAGGTAGGTTCTGAGATGGAAATGTGTGGACGAAAACACTCGTTGACTTGAGTAAAATACTTTTTGCTGTCTATTATAAGCCCGGTTAGTTTTCTGTTCTTAAAGTTGTTGAAAGTGGTTGCGTATCTGGATGACGAAGAGTTCTTTTGAGATTCACATGACTTACTAATTGGATTAACAACGTGCTTATATGCTTAGTTTTTGTACCACTTGATTACCGATGAATAGTGTAATCTACTTTGACAGTCGAAATAGTGTAGCGACACTAGTTGAAGATTCTAAGAAGATAGTCAAACATCATTTATGTGTTGTATGATTGTAGGAAGTGTCATTAAATTTGGTCCTTTCGTCTGAAATTCTTATCAGTTTCAATAACTGCTAAAATTGAAGTCTTATCATGAATACAGAAATCTCAGGTTGCACTCAAAAATTGTACTATAAGAGAGATACGCATATCAGCAGTAAAAGATAATATAGACCAATTCAACTTCTCGTATAATTTGCATGAACAACTTGAAAATCCCCCATTGCGTTATATAAAACAAAAAGTGTTCGGCGAAGAGTTACTACTTTTGTCGACGATATTATTCTCAAGCTGTACAACTCCTTGCATGTATACAGTAAATTATCTTAGCAACAAAAGGAATATATCCAAAGATGTGTCAGTAGAATTGCAAATTTTAGATAACAAATTACGTAATATAGAAAGCGTTAATTGGGTGGAGACTGGAATACAATTAAATAAGTGAACTGGGTGACTTAGTATAACTGATGGAGTTGAGTAGAATTCAATTAAAATTGAACGAGAGTCAAGTTAACAATAGTGATAATAAGGGCTAAAGGCTAAATAGAATGTGGAGAAAGAAAATAATATAGTTGAGAAAAACAGCACAAAATTACGTATTTGGTGTTAGGATAAATCTGTGTGTCTGTCTGTCTGGATTCAACATAGAACTTGGCACCGAAGTGCAGCAGTTCGAGTTGACACGTTGCAAATACCACCACAAAGGTAAACAAGAAGATGAGTGGAGGGAATCAATAGAGTTTGACAAGTATAAGAGTGAAACAGAATGGGTATTGGTAGAAAGAAATAGGAAAGATTACAGAGACTGAATACATCAGCGCTGGCCATTGACAACGATTTTGAGCCATGTCACCTATTGTCTCCAGCCATTGATTCCTAGAGTCAGTCCCGAGGGCCCCAACCCGGAAGTCTTCATCTCCCTCCCTACCTGACCCAGTTTAACTGTCAAGGACTTCATGGATTGATGAGGCCATGTTTTTGTTTGGCCACCACTTACTCTTTTCCAACCTGCAACTTTATCAATCAGCTAGTAATGACCGTCGGGGGAGGCGATGGTTAGGCATGCTCAGCACGTCACCTAGCCATCTCAATCTATGTAACTTTATAACCTCGTCGATTGATTTTCCCTCTTTGCCCAACACTACGCCTAACGTCAACACTACTTACCTTATTATACCACCTAACGTGAGAAAGAGATCGTAGACATCTATGATCAAAAACAGTCAACCTTTTCATGTCTTCAACACGTATTGACCATGTTTCAGAGCCATATAGAGAAGGACGGAACGAACTACTGAGCAGTACACACGTCCCTTGGTTGATAGCCGGATGTCACGCCTACGCCAGAGATGGTGTAAGTCAGCGAAAGCAGCTCGAGCTTTTTGGATCCGTGCTGATATTTCGTCGCCAATTAGTCCGTTGGTGCTGATTCAACTTCCCAAATAGGTGAAGTGGTCAACATGTTCTATCACTTCACTCCCTATCACTAAGCTAGGAGTTGACGTAGTCCAGTCCTGTAGCAGCATCCTACATTTTACAGGGTTAGGATAAATCAGGTCCATTGTAGATTTAATGACTTAACAAACTTCTTTTGTATGCAAAATTCAGGTTTTAAAACGTGAATTGAGATCGCTTTTGCGGTTTGAAGACGTATGATTCGTACTCTTTGGGCGAGATTCCCACTTATTCTGTAGATAACTTTGAAGTTCCTTTATGGATTGGCTTGTTGTCCAGATTTCATTAGGTGTAATAGGCTAGAGCTGTAGGCGGGTGGTGGGATCTTGTTTCTCCTTTATAAAATACATCTTTGGAAATATTCCTTTTGTTTGTGAGAAAATTCACTGTATCCATGCGATTGTATAGTTTGAGAATGATATCGCCGAAAAGAGTAACGCTTCGCTGGAAGCCCTCTCTTTTATATATTTTATTTAATTTTTTTTTGATTACAGCTTGATTCCACACCGTATTTTTGGTACAAGTATGGAAGTTTCAGCGGGATATTAGTAGCCCAAATTTTGCAGGCTGACCATAGATATCAACTGTGCGTCGGCAGGGGATCGAACCGCGGACCATGTGCGTGGTCGGCGAGAGTCCTAACCACTGTCCCACCGACGCACACATAATTTGCATGACAAGGTTTTTATAAGTAACAATAAAGAAAGCTACAGGTACTGTGCATATTGCTTTGAACCTGAAGTAAGTATTGTCGAGATTCGGCATTCTATTTTGCCGAAGTTAAGCTGAATGTGCACTGAACTACAAACACTAAATCACAAGCTGCAGCTAATTGCGACATTTGCATGGTGAGCCAGCCCCTAGTAAATAGTGTAACTCAGCTAAATGATACAAGGCTTTCTGTATGAGTCGGGCTTGATATTAAGGCTCGACAGACTACATAGTTTTCACAACTAAAAACAGATTACACACTAGTTTGAATCCGAAAATCGTATGAAAGTTTAGTAATTATCAGTTCTGACTAGTCGATTTAAACATAGTACCACTCAATACTGAGTTTGCCACACAAAATAATCATGTTATATCTATTTTACCTCTAGAAAAATGGAAATCGTCCTACTCAGGAGGATCGGTTAATTATGCGTCTTAGATCATCTAGACCCGTAGCAGCTTTTGTTGAATCATTTCGAGGGAATCATAAAGACTGGAGGAGTCTTGTACATTATTTATTTTACAAAAATATATCTGGTAAATGGAAGTCAAGAGAGCAAAAGAGTCGTAATAGAAAAGTTCGTGGATCTTTACCTCTGCCTCCTGCACCTGTTCAGAAACCAGACGAAGCTACATCACAAGAAGAAAGGTAAGTTTATTCAAATGAATATATTTCACTGGTGTGTAAACCTTTACTACTTTTTTCATCAAAGTATAAAAACATTCCATTGTTTAGGCACAAATCTGACCTAAAGAAACTGGTTAGCACTCATGAGGTGTGATGGCACTGAAACTGAAACCAAGTCAGAAATTAAATCCCTAGGCGTCATTCTATCTGCTGATGTTTCCTGGTCGTCTCTTGATGATTTCTAAGAAAATATTCCGTCTTACCTTCTACATCAAGAAGTTAAGACATTCTGGTATAACCCAACCCTTACTCCTACGGTTCGTTAACTCCCGTATTCTGCCTATTATTCTCTATTGTTCCCCCTTAGTTTTTCCTGGGCTACCGAAGAAAGACTATACCTTATTACGCAGGATGTTAAAGGTTGTCAGCAGGGTAAGCTACGTGCCACGTAACCAGCCTGTTAATATTCTGGTTGACAGACACATGGACTCATGTGAAAAATGAGCAAAATCCATTTTATCTAACTCACACCTGTCTGTCTGTCTGTTTTCGACATAGAACTTTGCACATATGTGCGACAGTTCAAGTCGCCACACTCCGTGTAGCACGCGAAGCAAGAGAAGAAAGTACAAGAAAAGCATAATAGAGACAGTGAGCAGAGGTGTGAGACAAAGGAGTAATAAAGAAATACAAAACAGTTTCATTGAGATCATAAGTCACAGGGAGTGGATGCATCTGCGCCACTGAGAACGATTTTGAGCCATGTCAACAATTGTTTCCAACCATAGATTTTTACCGTCCCGAGGACCCCAGCCAGGAAGTCTACACCTTCCTACGTGGCTTAGACCAACTGTTGTGGATTTCATTGACTGGTGCCAAGTTTTTGTTTGACCGCCGCTAGCTTTTTTCCAGCCTGACCCTATATCCGCTAACATTGCTCGTCGAGGGAGGCGATGACTTGGCATACGTAACACATGTCCTAACCATCTCAGTCTTTGTAGCTTCATGGCCTCGTCGATTGATTTCCCCAGTTTACCTAGAACATGACGCCTAACTTCAATGTTGCTCACCTTATTATGCCACTTTACACGGGAAATAGAGCGCAGGCACCTATCATTAAAGACAGCTAGTCTTTTCATGTCTTCCACTCTCAGTGGCAAGGTTTCACAACCATAGAGGAGGACGGAGCGGACTGACGAGCAGTACACCCGCCCTTTGGTCGATAGTCGAACATCTCGTCTACGCCAGAGTCGGCGTAAACTAACAAATGCGAAACGAGCCCCTTGTATTCGTGCTGAGATTTCGTCAGAGATCAGCCCGATAGGGCTGATGGTACTTCCCAAATAAGTGAAGCGGTCAACGTGCTCTACCACTTCACTTCCTATTTTTAAACTAGGCGTCGATGTAGTCCAGTCCTGTAACATCATCTTGCATTTGGCGGGAGCGAATCGCATGCCAAACATTCGTAGATTGCGGCTCAAGGTGTTTAGAAGACTCTGCATTTTGTCACAGTTGTCGCATAGTAGGACTATATCGTCTGCATATTCCAAGTCAACGAGATTATTCCCTGGGTAGCAAGTCAATTCCTGAGTCACTGAAGTCACCTAGGGTTAAGTCCATTAACACATCTATGATGAAGTTGAATAGAAAAGGGGATAATGGGCATCCTTGACGGACACCACTGGTCGTCATCAGTTCAGATGACAGCTCGCCGTAAGCCCTCACCTGGCTGTATGAGTACGAGTAGAGTGCCTTAATCAGTGCAATATATTTTCTCGGAATTCCCTTTACAGCCAAGCATCTCCAGAGAACTTCTCTATCGACAGAGTCGAATGCTGCCTTTAGGTCAAGAAATATAATGACTGTTGGACGCCGGTAGGAATGACTATGTTCTAGAATCTGTCGGAGGGTGAAGATATGATCAATACACCCTCTTCCTGGTCTAAAGCCTGCCTGGCTCTCTCGTGTTTGTGCTTCCCGAGCACCACTCAGTCTACGCATGATTATTGAGCCTAAGACTTTAGATACTATATTAGTCAAGCTAATCCCTCTGTGATTATCACAGGAAGACTTGTCTCCCTTGTTGTATATCGGGATAATCAGTGACTTACACCAACCCGATGGGACTTCTTCTGATTCCCAGACGCTGCTTAGTACCTCAGTTAATGCAGACAGTAAGCTGTCTCCACCGTAATTAAATACCTCTGGAGTCATTCCATCAGGTCCTGCGGCTGTGCCTAGTTTCAGATTGGTGACAGCTTTAGTAACCTCAGTTAGGGATGGAGGACCTGTGTCTATATCCCATTCAGGGAGATGTTGGATGCTCGGAAGGTTGAGCGTGGCTGTGGGCCAATTAAACTGCTCCTCATAATGCTCTTTCCAGCGATCCAGTCGTCTATCCTGTGAGCTAATTATATAACTCACACCACCCTCTTCATTCGCAACTCTCCCCTTGTATCTCTTCAGGGAAACCACAAGCCTGTATAGAAAACTATATGCTCGCACTAGTAAGTACAAAAACACAACCATACCTACTTGGCCCGTGTTCTGTGCAATAAACAAAGCATTAGGTGTGATACCTATAACTTATTAAATAGTCAGTAGAACAACTGGATCTCGTCTTTCCAACTCATCATATAATCTATAGGTACAACGTTTTTCTTTCTTTCTTTTCCTTTTCTCTCTCTTTTTTCTGTTATGTGCAGCTTTGTTTCTTTCTTTTACTGCGCCGACCGAAAGCTGCTACCTTGACGTGGTGGTCGGGCTTGAACACCGAAATTCACCTAATCAAGCTATACTGGCTGAGACTTATGTCTCTTGAGG